CAATTAAACAGTTATATCCCATATAGACAATTAAAATCATTCATTTCTAATGTTTTCAAAGTATTTATTGACGAATCAAGTTTGACAAGATAATTTGATATAATAGGTTTCAACTACAAAATTAAATAATTTTACTTTGTAATTTAATAATTTTTTTACTCTATTTGTGTGTGCTACTACTAGACTATAGTATTCCAATTTTTTTTTTAACATGTTGCTATATAAATAATTTCTAAAAAAAACCCAGCACAGACGGGTCGCGGCACAGTGGTGATGTGGCATAGTTGGATCAAGTATAATGATATCTGACATTGATTAAAATCATTATCAAAATAAAACGCTTCGATGGAAATCTTTAGATAGTGTTTAATTAAAAAAAAATTGATGTATTATTCCAAAAGCTACATGATCTGCTAGTTCCTTATTAATATCCTGATTAAGATAAAGTATGTCGAATGAAAAAGGGATTATTAAAAAATATTATTTCTCATAAAAAAATTGTGTTGATCCATACAATTTTTAATAAGAAATTTCACACAAAAATAGCATTCGGTAGCCATTTTCACCACGAAGACAAGTCCAGAGATCGATTTTTTTATTTTTCATAATAAAGTACATTACATTAGCTTTAATTTAAGATATATATAAAAGTGTCAGACCTTCTGGAACATTTTCAAAAGTTAAGTTGAAAAAGTTAATGCTTTGTGAAAAAGTTGTCATTTTTAATCTCCACTATAGGCAATTAAAAGGGTTAGATATATAAAAAAAATTTACTAAATGATAGGTAAAGACATCAAGCATCTATAAAAAAAAAATTATATTGATATGTTTATTTTTGAAAAAGTTACGGTAGTTTTTAGTAAAAAAAATTTCGAAAATTAGCGAATTTTAAATTTGTAATATTTTTGGAGGTTTCCCCTATTTATGGTGAACGAGGGAAATTTTTTCAATTTTTGAAGGTAATGTCTTCGATTAGATACGATTTGTGATCTTTTTACGTATCGTTGAAAGAAATCCGTTCGGTGAGAGCTGAGAAAAAGTTGTAACAGACAAAAAAAAAAACCCAGCACAGTAAGGTCTGGGCACAGTGGTGCCGTGGTATAGTTGGATCAAGTATAATGATATCTGACAGTGATTAAAATCTCTATCAAAAATAAACGCTTCGATGCAAATCTTTAGATAGTGTTTAACTTAAAAAAAATTGGTGTTTTATTCCAAAAGCTTCTTGATCTGATGGTTCCTTATTAATATCTCGATTAAGACAAAATATGTCGAATGAAAAAGGGTTTATTAAAAAATATTATTTCTCATAAAAAAAATTGTGTGGATCCATACACTTTTCAATAAGTTATAGCATTATAAAGTTAAATATAATATAAAAAATAAAATCGAGAATTTTCACACGAAAATAGCATTCGGTAGCCATTTTCGCCGTGAAGACAAGTCCAGAGGTCAAATTTTTTTTTTTAAAATTAAAGTATATTACATTAGCTTTAATTTAAGATATATATAAAAGTGTCAGACCTTCCGGAACATTTTCAAAAGTTAAGTTGAAAAAGTTAATTTTTTGTGAAAAAGTTGTCATTTTAAATCCCCCCCTGTGGGCAGGTTAAGTGTCAGATTTACAAAAAAAATATACCAAATGATAAGTAAAGACATCAAGCATCTATATAAAAAAAAATTATATTGATATGTTCATTTTTGAAAAAGTTAGAGCAGTTTTTAGTAAAAAAAATTGAAAAAATTTCGAAAATTAGCGATTTTTAAATTTGTAATTTTTTTGGACGTTTCCCCCATTTACGGGGAACGAGGGAAATTTTTTCAATTTTGAAGGGTAATGTCTTCGACTAGATACGATTTGTGATCTTTTGACGTATCGTTGAAAGAAATCAGTTCGGTGAGAGCTGAGAAAAAGTGGTAACAGACACAAAAGAAAACGTATCATAGTAAAACCAATATCTTCTCAGCTTCGCATCGAAGTTAAAAACACATCATAGTAAAACCAATACCTTCCCAGCTTCGCATCGAATTGATTGTTAGTTTCTCCTGAATTAAAAATGGATTTTTACAATTATAATCAAATTTTATAATACGCTCAATTGAGTAAATCTTTTTAACAACTTTGTTTTGATTGGTTCATTTAGTTAAAGTAAATTATCAAAATTAATTAAGTTCTGAATATTTCAATTGTAGAATCTTTTTAAATACCAAAAGCTAATTAGAAATGATTACTATGATTTCTATTTAAGTGTTCTATTACGATAAAAATGAAAAAAATATTTTGCTTTTCTGATAAATTTACAATAAATAGTAATTATAAAACTTCCTAACTGCATATTAATCTTAACGATACAATTTTTTTAATTCTCATAAAATTTTCTATTTAATGATGTAAATTTCAAACTTGCCAATTGAGCTAAAAGTTATGGTAAAATAAATTATTTTTTTTTATTATAAACATTCAACTTAAAATGATTAAAAAAATAGGTTAAATATGTCATTTTCTTTATTTTTAAAATATTAATAATCAAAATCAGTATTAATTTAAAACAATTTTTTTTGTTCTTAATTATTTTTTTTTATATGTAAATATTATTATTTAATAATATTAAAACTTAAAAGTGATAGAAATAGTCTAATTGCACATTTGAAACACATGGAGAAATGTTGATTTAGAATATTATATTTTTGTTCCTGATGAAAGTTCCTTGTAGTACAGTGTATAAAACTTATAACTTTGTTAACTGTTAAACTTTATCAAAAATGACCAAATAAGTATAATTTTTTTTTTATATAGATGCATGTCTTTACTTATCATTTGGTTTTTTTTTATAAATCTAAAACTTTATCTGCCCACAAGAGGGATTCAAAATGATAACTTCTTTTTTTTTTAGTTAAAGTAAATCATTAAAATTAATTCAGTTCTGGATATTTCAATTGTAGAATCTTTTTAAATACCAAAAGTGAATTAGAAATGATTACTATGATTTCTATTTAAGTGTTCTATTACGATAAAAATGAAAAAAAAATGTGTTTTTCTGATAAATATACTGTAAATAGTAATTATAAAACTTCCTAACTGCATATTAATCTTAACGATACAATTTTTTTAATTCTCATAAAATTTTCTATTTAATGATGTCAATTTCAAACTTGCCAATTGAGTCAAAAGTTATGGTAACATATTCAATTTTTTTTACAATAAACTTTCACAAAATTTTATCAAAAATTTTTCATCAACATTAAAGAACCAAAAAAATATGTTAAAAATGAAAATTTGAACTGATTATTTTTAACATATTAAAAATCAAAATCAGTAATAATTTGAAAACAAATTTTTTTTTCTTTTAATTATTATTTTATATGTAATTAGTAATAATATAAAAAATTAGAAGTGATAGAAAAAGTCTAATTGCAGATTTGAAAACAATGCGAAAAGTTGATTTAGAAAAGTATATTTTTGCTTCTGATGAAAGTTCTTTGTAGTCCAGTACATTTATTTATAGTAACAAACAGTTTTTATTGAAAAATATTACATTAAGCCCTTTAAATTATTATACACGTAAAAGTAAAGCAAAATATAACTTCTTTATTATTTTTATAATTTCTCTGTATAAATTACAATATTAAATTATTGAATATCAATTTCATACTAAATTTAATAACTATAATTAGTATTTATTCATATATTATATTTTAAAATCAAAGAACTACTAATCATGATATAATTGAAGAAATAAGAGTTGATGTTGCTTTTGTAATCATCCGCCAATTTCTTAGAATTAAACAATATCTACAGATTTGTATCGAAGTGTTTCTTGTGACAGTGATTTTAATCACTGTCAGATATTATTTATGCCTCATCCACACTGTGCCTCGATCCCACTGTCCTACCGTTTTTTTTTTAATAATAGTGTCAACTTATGAAATATATTTTCATACAGTTTTCTTGGTATACCATTTAATTGATATTCATGATATAAACTATATATCTTTTTAAGGTTTATAATATTAGGCTTTAGTAAACCATTTTATATTTTGATATTTATTATTTAACTATTAGAGAAAGTATATTACACTAATATTCAGTAAATAATCATTAATACTGTAAATTTTATGTTAATTATTATTATTAATTATCTTGAATTGTTAATGACATTATTCCTAATAAAAAGGAATCTGACTACTGAATTGGTGGTCATTGTACCATCGGTGAATGTTATATCATAATTATTATTTTGTTTCTTTCCGATAACACTTATCCGCATTGTCAAATTGGACTTAGAATGTCCATTTAACCACAAGATAAAAACTTTTTATCATTTATTTTTTTGTGCACTGATAAATACTAAATATTTGGTCTACAACTTGTTTGATTCTTTTTTCTGATATTTAAATTGAAAGTGAATATTTTTACTCCAGCCATCACTTGTTAAAATGTTAGTAACTTCTAAAATACTGGTTCAAAAATTGTTAACAACCACATATTTTTATAATTAGAATTTAACTAATTTTTAATTTTCTGTGAATAAAATCTACTTGTTAAACTCCCAATTTTTGTGAAATTTTATATTTTTTTTTATGAAATTATATTTAAAAGAAAATTTAATATTTTATTTTAAATCATTTTTTTTTTTTATTAAATTTATACTAGCCAATGTACAATATAACATACAATACTCGATTATGTAGAAAATTTATTATATGATTGATACTATTTTTAAAAATTATTATAATTTTTGTATTAAAACACTTAAGGTACATTTATGTTTAATAGGCTCAACATATTTGATAAAAATTATATTTTATTTTTTATACTTATACTTTTTAAAAGTATATCATCTTTTGAGTAGCATTTTTCTATCAGTGTGATAAAAACATTATTTATGGTTATTACATCAAAAAAATTTTACCTTCTATATTATCATATTATTTTATAATAATTCATAAAAAGACAAACATTTTTTATACTTTAAATAATATTCTTTCAAAAATTTTAGGTTGCTCAAGACTTAGCCGAAGCTGATGAAAAACGGAAACAAATATTTAAAGATTATGAAATGCAAAAACATTTTGAGCGTGATCAAAAGTTAAAGCAAATGAATGATATTGAACGTGAGAAATTTTTATTGAAAGAAAAAGAATCAGATATTCAAAAAGAAGTTAAGCATAAAACAAATCCTGTAAGAATCTTTAATAAAATAATATTAAAATTTTATTATAATTTATTGCTTCATATTTAAAGTTCATATTAAGATAAATAAAGTTCTAAGAACTGATGTAAGATTTTTTTTTTTAGTAGACGAATTTAAGACCATAATAAATATTGCCCTGAGTTTATTTAAATTCATAAAACTTAAATGTTAACTGTAATTTCGAAGTTATAATTTTAATATTGCTTCCTCCATCCACTATGTATATACTGATGTATATCTCTTAAATAAGTCTTTGAAGATATCATTGACTAATGGTTAGAACAAAATATTTTTGATCTTTATTTTTTCATCACTTCATAATTTTGAAAAAAATTTAAATAAAAATATTCTTTACTGTTTCCATCTATTTAAATTTTTTATTGTATTAAAAGACAATTAATTGGATATAAGTTTAAAAGCTGCTATGATGTACTTAGATTCATGTAAAATTTGGCTGTTGAGGGTTTAGGTTCTCTGGATTAATTTCTTTTATTCAATTATGTTCTATGCAGGTTAAATTAAATTGTTAATTAATATTTAAACAAGTTTTAATACTCAACAAGTAATTTGATATCAAAAAATGATAACATCTGTTTCTCAAGATTATTTTTATTTATACCTTAAAATATGGATTTAGCTAAAAGTATTATTTTTTTAATCATTAGTATACTTAGACATAAGGTTTTTCATGATATTGTTTCAAAATTGATTTCAAACTTAAAAGCAAATTAAATATGTTCTATTCTGGAATATGCTACAATAACATTAAAATTTTCACGAAAACCCAAAATGAGAGACATCATCATCAATTTAATGAATTTTAATCGTTCTTGATAAAATTAAGAAAACTGTATGCCAATTGATAGATTGACAGAGAAAATAAATTGAATGTTACTCTTAAGAAAGTGCCCTCTTTAATTTACTTGGTGGTTTATGTTATTCTTATGTTTAAAAGTTTAAGCAACATAAGTTTTAGTTCTAAGTTTTAGCAACATAAGTTCATTTTTAAATTAATCATTTAAGATTCATCATCCTGGTAGTAAAAAACAACTTGAAGAAGTATGGGAAAAACAAGATGAAATGGAAGGAGAAGCATTCAACCCAAAAGCATTCTTTGCCTTACATGGTTTGTAATAATAAATAATTTAATTATCTATAAAAAAATGAGTACTTTTTAATTATAATGAGTATTATCCTCTAAATAGGAGGAAAATATTAAAAAAAAATCTATGGTAGGTTATATAAAATAATAAACCATTTATACATAAAAAAAAAAAATTAATAAATAAAAAGAAGGATTTAAGTTGTAGAATAACAATTTTGTTTAGTTCAAGGCCATTGTATAGCATATTTATTTTTAATAACATAATAAACCCAATCAAATTATCATTTTTTTTCTATAGACATTGATGGTAATCATTTTTGGGATGAAGAAGAAGTAAAAACATTATTCTTAAGAGAGCTGAACAAACTATATGAACAAGGCATGAACAATGTAGATTTAATGGAGAAAGCAGAAGAGATGGAACGTATGCGTGAACATGTATTTAATGAAATGGATTCAAATAAAGACAGACTTATAAGTTGGGATGAATTTAAGCGCATGTCTGAACAACCAAACTTTGAAAAAGATGAAGGATGGAAAACCATTGATCAAAATGAAATTTACACAAATGAAGAGCTAAAAAAGTTTGAACAACAGCAAATAGATCAGATGATACAAAGTGGACATGTTAGTAAAAACATTATATTTAAAATTTTGAATCTTGTAAAGAATTTATCTTAAAATTAATAAATTTTGAACAAATTATTAGGATATTTGAACATTTTTTAGTGGTTATTAAAATATAGACTTTAAGTAAGGCAAGGTGTAATTACTTTTTATTGCATAATATTTTTGTCAATTTTTTTTTTACCATAAATCATAATTAACTAAATTCATTATCTTTCAACTTTCAGACTCTCAACTTCTCCAATTGATTTTCTCATATTTTGTTTTTATTTAGGTCACTCCCATACTATTTCTTAAATATTTATTTCTTAATTTCTTGTTTAACAAACTACTCAATCACCTTAACATTCTTATTTAATTCTCTACTTCATCTATTCTCAATTATCTATTTCATATATCTTATCTATTTACTTTATATTTTTATTTTTTTTAATTAATATTAAAAATATTACATCTTCTAAAATAATGATTTAAAAGGAAATTTTTTAGAAATATGTATACAATTTTAGTTCAAAACTAAACTATATTTATTTTGTTTGATTTAATTTAGATTCCTAATTATTATCCTGAATATTATCAGCATCACACAGTAAGTAATTGATTGTATTATTTATATTCAAAACTTTGAACTCAAATAATTATTTTAACTATAGTATAAATAAATTTAATGAATTTTGATAAATATTCCTTTTTAAATAATGAATTTATTTCTAATTAATATTAAACAGTAAATTAATATTAACATTAAAATCTTATATTGTGTCACTTTTCAATTCTAGTGTTTTATAAGACTACTTATACATTGCATATTAAGTTTAAATATATTTTATTTTAAGAAATTTTGACATGGGTATGTTAAGTTAAATAAGTGTAATCGGTTTCTTCAGTTAAACTTATTATTCAATTTACCTAAAAGTCAGTGGCATATTAAAGGTTTCATCACCTTGGGGCAGTATTAATTTAGTACCTATTTTGTAATCATCTCATGGAAAGATTTTAGAAAGCCTCTGAAAATTAAATAAAATGCATTTATATGAAAATATTTTTTAGGAAGAAGAAAAATGAAATTAGATTTCTCTAATACTTTTTTTTTTTCAAAATATTAATTAATTAGTTATTAACATAAGATAATCTGTGAATGAGCTGCAAAAATGTTATTGGTATTTACATATTTGCCTTTTCAAATATTCCATCAATTAGAAAAAATGTATGATATTTATGAATACAAAAACATTTAATTAATATATTTTATATATTATTAATTTTACCACGATGTGTTTTATTTTTGTGTCTGTTGCCACTTTTTCTCAGCTCTCACTGGACCAATTTTGATAAACAATGTGTCAAAAGATCACAAATCGTATCATGTTGAAGACATTACCCTTAAAAATTGAAAAAAATTTCTCTCGTTCCTCATAAATGGGGGAAATTTCCAAAAAAATTACAATTTTTCAAATCTGTAAATTTTGTCATTTTTTTCACTTTTTTTTCTTAAAAATACCATAACTTTTTTAAAAATTAACAAAACAACTTAATTTTTTTTTTTTGATTGAAACCATTATTTTCCTTTCATTTGATATCATTTTTATGAAAATCTAACACTTAACTTGCTCACAGGGGGGATTTAAAATAGCAACTTTTTTACAAAAAGTAGCCTTTTCTAATTAACTTTTGGAAATGTTCCGGAAATACTGCGTCCTTTAAACATGTACCAAATAAAAGCTTATGTCATGTACTATAAAATGAAAAAAAAAATAGTCCCGACACTTTTTCTTCTGCATGCAAATGGCTGCCGTAGTTAAAAAATGGTATTTTTTTGTTAAAATTTTCGATTTAAAATGTTTAACTTTAACATGCCATAACTTTTTGAATAATGTATGTATCAACACAATTTTTTTTTCTAAATACATTATATATACCTCTTTCATTTAACATACTTTTTATTTAAATTGGAAAATTTTCTTTTATACAGGTGACATTCAAAATTGAAAAATACGTATAAAAAGTAGAACTTTTTCAACTTAACTTTTGAAAATGTTCCGGAAATACTGCGTCCTGTAAATATATGTCAAATGAAAGCTTATAATAAATACTATAAGTTCAAAAAAAAAAATTGTCCTGACATCTTTTCTCCTATTTTTTAAAATCGAAAAAGTAACTTTAAAATTTGAATTAGCATAAATTGCCAATTTTATTAATTGGCGAAAGCGACGAATTGTTGCCGAATCAGTAACACTTGTGTATTTAATGGTTAGGGTGCTAGGTTTAAATCCGCCTGTGGCAAATTAATATTTTGCATTTTTTTAAGTTGGAAAAATTTTCAAATCATTTGATTTTGATCTCATTTAGATTCATCTACTTCAATAAATATCAAGAATCCCATCACTGTAGTCTCCCCGCATGAGAAGAAATTTCTTATTTATGTTAATATTTTACTATGTATTTTTTTTTTGTGGATGCGATTTATTTTTCCAAAATATTTCCCTCAAAAATTGAAAAAAAATCCCTTAATCAAATAAAAAGAACCATAAACTGCTTTATCCATATAAACAATTAAAATGATTCCTTTCTAATATTTTTATCGAATTAGAATTGATATGATAAAAGTATTCAACTGCGAAAGTAAATAATTTTAATTTGTAATTTAATAAGTTTTTAACTCTATTTGTGTGTGTTACTAACAGTCTATAATATTCCAAATATTTTGGTAACATGTTGCTATATAAAACACAAATCTAAAAAAAAAAAATGAATTTTAGTTTCACCTGAATTTAACAATCGATTTTTACAATTATAATCAAATTGTATAATACGCTCAATTGAGTAGATTTTTTTAACAACTTTTTTTTTGGTTTTTTTAGTTAAAGTAAATTATTAAAATTAATTCAATTCTGTATATTTTAATTGTAGAATCATTTTAAACACCAAAAGTTTATTATATATGATTACTATGATTTATATTTAAGTGATCTAATACGATAAAAATGCAAAAAAATAAAATAGAGCTTTTCTGATAAATTTACTGTAGATAGTAATTATAAAATTTGCTGAATGCATATTAATCTTAACAATTTCATTTTTTCTATTTATTGATGTCAATTTCAAACTTGCAAGTTGAGCTAAAAGTTATGGTAATAAATTAATTTTTTTTTTTATGATATACTTTCACTTTAAAGGACGAAAAAAAGTAGGTTAGAAATTATTACTTTTAACATATGAAATTTTTTCAATTTTTTTTACTAAAAACTGCCGTAACTTTTTCAAAAATGAACATATCAATATAATTTTTTTTTTTTTATAGATGCTTGATGTCTTTATCTATCATTTGGTGTATTTTTTTTGTAAATCTGACACTTAACCTGCCAACAGGGGGGGATTTAAAATGACAACTTTTTTACAAAAAATTAACTTTTGAAAATGTTCCGGAAGGTCTGACACTTTTATATATATCTTAAATTAAAGCTAATGTAATGTACTTTATTATGAAAAAAAAAAATTTCGGATTTTATTTTATCTTCATGGTGAAAACAGACATTAAACTTAATAAAAAAAATACGATTTTTGTAAAAAAATTCTTTTTTATATTTTTAACTTTATAATGCTATAACTTCTCGAAAAGTGTATTGATCAATATAATTTTTTTATGGGAAATACTATTTTTTAATAATTCCTTTTTCATTCGACATACTTTATCTTAATCAGGATATTAATAAGGATCTAGCAGATCATGTAGCTTTTGGAATAATCCACCAATTTTTTAAAATTAAACACTATCTAAAGATTTGCATCGAAGCGTTTTTTTTTTATAGTGATTTTAATCACTGTCAGATATCATTATACTTGATCCAACTATGCCACGTCACCACTGTGCCGCGACCCCCCTGTTCTGGGTTTTTTTAATAATAATAATATCTCTTGGGGTATGAGTAATAGGGTTCATGAGAATAATAAAAGTAATAATGTTCTTTAATATCAATAATGCCACGAGTACAGTTATCAATGATGGGTGTAATGGAGGCACCTTATGTACCTACCCAAAGTAATATATATGAACCTCTAACTTGGCTCCTGGCATAGACACATATCAAGGATCTAACTCTAACAATGAGCTCCGTACAAAAATTACTGATTTACTTTAATACTATTTAATTTTTAGTGAACACTTGATCTTCCTTTGTCCCTACTTAAACATGTATTCAAACGAAATAATTAATTTTAAATCTCATCATTTTAATTATTATTAGTATCTAACTTGATGTTCCCAGTGTGTATTTGGAAATGAATAAAAGTCGTTCTATTTACTTGAATTAAACTTGAGTGTGACTGTTCAATTTTTGCATATGAATTAGAATTAGTTAAATCAATGAGTTATAAGAGTATACTTTATTATTTCTAACTTCATTTAAAATAATTATTAACTATAATTTAAATATATTTGAACATAATTTTTCAGGAAGTGCTTAATTCTTCATTAAATCAGGGTTATCAAATTAATTCAAATTCTCATCAATCCCAATACATGAACCATCAATCTCAACAATACTTAAAACCTCATCCAGCACTACAGTACAATAATATACCACAACAACAAATTAATCATCCACCTCAAGAACAAATGCAAAATCATTATGTTAATCAACAAGAAAAACAGGATTCTAAGCAACAAAATTCTCCTGTTTTACAATATGCACCACAGCAACAACAATATCAAGCCAGTGATCAATTAAAAAATCACAACACGAGATTAAATGATGTTGGTTCAAGTAATATTGGGAAGAAATCCAAAGAAAATTTTGGTAAATCAGGACATGTAGCTGGAAATTAACAATACATAATTTTCTGTGGGGTCGTGAATAACTTTATTTTATTTTATTTTATCAAATTTGTTTTTATAGCATTCTAAATTCTGAATTTAAAGTTATTAAATATTATACTTCATAAAATATAATTATTTAGAAAAAGTTGTTGAAATTAATTTTCATTATATGTTATAAAAGTAAAATTACCTTTTGAATTAAAACATGTATAATTCAAATTTGTTTTTTGAAACACCCTGGAAACCAGCAAAAACTTAAATGCGTACAGTTTGTAGTATAAACGATGATAATTACCAAGGTATTAATTAATTTTTCTAACGTAGTAGCATTCAAGTAGTTAGAAAAATATTCGAATAAATAAAAAAAATTTGATTAGTTAATTATCAAAGTTATTATATAAAGAATTATCGGTAAGGTAAATACATATTGTGTGTTTAATCTATGCTATAACTATGAAAATTGGTGAAATAGTGTTAAGAATCTTATGTTCGATGTGAACAGAGGTGCATTTACATATTTTTCGCCTATAGGCATTTCAAAATTGGCCGCCCTTCAATACGATACCGGCGGTAGGTGGGTCAATTTCCTTTATTTTTACAATAACACTACTAATTCTCCCACAAAAAAAAAGGATTTAAAAATATTTTTCGAGCAAATCTTTGTTTATTAATAAATCATAAAATAAGTATTAATTTTAATCTATTACATTATTAATATAAATCAGTTGTGCAAAAGATTTCCAATGAGGCTAAAAAGTATATTCTACAAGATTGTAGTGAGACCAGTTATGATGTATGTTCAGAGTGTTGGGCGGTTGATAAGAAAGTAGAGCAGAGAATGAGTGTAGTAGAGATGAGAATGCTTAGATGGATGAGTGGAGTAACTAGAGAAGATAAGATAAGAAATGAGCATGTAAGATGTACAAAAACATGTAATTAATATATTTTATATATTATTAATTTTACCATGATGTGTTTTATTTTTGTGTCTATTGCCACTTTTTCTCAGCTCTTACTGGACCGATTTTGATAAGCAGTGTGTCAAAAGATCACAAATCGTATCATGTTGAAGACATTACCCTTAAAAATTGAAAAAAATTTCTCTCATTCCTTATAAATAGGGGAAATCTCTAAAAAAATTACAAATTTAAAAATCGATAAAATTTTGTCATTTTTTTCACTTTTTTTTCTTAAAACTTCCATGACTATTTCAAAAATCAACAAATCAACATAATTTTTTTTTATACTAAAACCTTAGATATTTCCCTTTCATTTGATATCATTTTTTTGAAAATCTAACACTTAATCTGCTCATTGGAGAGGATTTAAAATAGCAACTTTTTTACAAAAAGTAGCCTTTTCAACTTAACTTTTGAAAATGTTCCGGAAATACTGCGTCCTTTAAACATGTACCAAATAAAAGCTTATGTCATGTACTATAAAATGAAAAAAAAAATTGTCCCGACACTTTTTCTTCTGCATGCAAATGGCTGCCGTAGTTAAAAAAAAGCTATTTTTGTGTTAAAATTTTCGATTTTCGAATTTAAATTTTCAACTTAAAAATGCCATAACTTTTCGTAAAATGTAATTATCAGCACAAATTCTTTTTCTAAATATATTATAAGTATATCTTTCATTTGACATACTTTTTTTTAAAATTGGACAATTCCCCCATATATAGGGGGCGTTCAAAAATTGAAACATTGTATAAAAAATAGAACTTTTTCAACTTAACTTTTGAAAGTGTTCCGGAAATACTGCGTCCATTAAACATATATAAAATTAAAGCTTATGTTATGTACTATAACATGAAAAAAAAAATTTGTCCCGACGACCTATCTTCTATGCCCAAAATGCCTACCGTATTCAAAAATATGCTATTTTTCTATTAAAATTCTAGGTTTTGTATTTTATTTTATTTTAAAATATCTTATTAGGAAAATACATGGTGAAAATAGCTACCGTATTTAAAAGTATGCTATTATTGTGTTAAAATTCTTGGTTTTGTATTTTATTTTATTATAAGCGGATTACACTGATTTTCATAAATATTATATCAATCTAAATGACATAGTATAAAAAAATAATCATATTTAAATTTAAAGTCGAGAAAAAGAACTTTAAAATTTGAGCTAGCTAAATTTCCATTTTTATTAAGTGACGAATGAGACGTGTAAAAAAAATACTCAGATCGAAGTAAAATTAATACCTTCTCAGCTTCGCATCGAAGCTAATAAGTTTTAGCAGATTATTTCGAACGTAAGGAGAACATTTTTTTTTAATCTTTGAAAATGTTGTACTTATAGTTCAAAACAATTTTTGTGCCAATTATGTCTAAACAAGTTGATAAAAATATTTAAAATTAGTTCCTCTCATTAAAGTTGACCTAAAAACGCCCTTTCTACACTGATGACATGGTACACTCGCAATATCAAAAGATAAAATTTCAAAGAAACAATAATTATTTCTACAATAATATTATGAATTATTTTATTTCTCCATACAAAATTTTAAAAGAATAATAGTGGGATCTGTTTGAGTTGCTAGGAAGCCATAAATGAACATTCATTAAATAATTCAAAATGAATATCTAACTTTTAATAAATATTGAAATCTTATTTTTGAACCCTTTTCTATTGTTTTATAAATGATGATTGATAAATTTTAAATTAAAAATTTAGATTTATTTAACCTAATTGGTTTAAATTCAATTAAAATTTTTTTATGATGAAAATTACAAATAATTAAAAAGTAATAGGATTTATATCTAAATATAAATTGCACAACAGAATGCAAATATTAAAACATAAGAAATAAAATAAATATCCAAACTTAAGTAAAATAATAAAAAATACACAACTTGTACTTCACGTATTTGATGATAAGAAAATAATAAAATAAATAAATTATTTATATAATATTAAATAGATTAATGGTTTCATAGCATCAAAAAGTAGAAGAGGAAGATAATAATTGTCAAAAGTTCATTTTTCTTTTTATTTGATTATCTATTCTAGTTGATAATAAAATCAGCTGATAAATAGGTCACTAGCGCTTGAATCTTATAAATATTATTCGTGAACGGATATTCATAGAAACAAAAAATATGTATTATTATTTTTGATAAAAATTTCCTTGATTAATATTTATTTTGAATTGTGATGATTAGACATATTTTTAATCCTAGTTATTAATCTTATTTGAAATTTATTAGTCAATTAAACATTACTAATTAATGTGCAACACACATAGTTGTTTTATAAGAAAATATTCTATTAAATTAAATATCCTGTAAAAAAATAATTAATTATTGAATTGCATATGTAATTTATTACATATTGGCAATCATTCAAATATTATTAATTTTTTTTTTGTATAACCTACTTTTCAAACTTATTAACAATAACTACGTTAAGTACCTGTGTTGTTTGAAATTCAATAATTTAAAATGATAGGTGTCAATCAAGTAAGAATAATTTTATATCTTAAAATATAAATAAAAATATTTGTATTTTTTATTTAGACTATACGTTGTATGTGTCGTATACCAAGGACTGTTATTGCTGTTAGGAAATATTGTGATCAACCAAGAGAAAACTCATTTTCACTTGGTAAGTTTCAGTTATTTGATCTTTAAATGTCATTTTAATAACAGTTATTGTATATTATAGATTTATCAGATACACAAAAAGAATTTAGGGATCTTGCTAGAAAATTTGCTAGAGAAGAAATAATTCCTGTAGCTGCTGAATATGACCGTACAGGAGAGTATCCATGGGAAATAGTAAAAAAGGCTCATGCAGTAGGGCTTCTCAATGGACATATACCTGAACATTGTGGTAAGTAAAATTATAATTTTAAGGCAATATCAATACAACACAATTAAAAAATCGAATTTGAATAGAACATTTTTTTGAAATTTCAACATGGTTCAATTTAATGTTTATATGTATATTTTTTTTCCATATAATTGAGAGAATAACTAAAAACTATTCTTTTCTTTACTTTCGCCCTTTAAATATATTAGATTATAGTACTGTAAATATTGTTAATTTTGGATATTAATATATGATTGACAAGCAGTTAGAAGCAATTAAATTATAGAATATATCATTTTATTTTATAACAAAAAACAAAAATATTTTTTTAACAATGTTTAAAAAAAGTTAATTATGTTTTAAATAGTTTGACATGCTATTTTTAAACAATTTAGGGCATAAACTTTTAGATTTTAAAGCCATCTGCTTGATAGACAAATTATAATTTGATATGAGGTTCTTCTTTTTTATCTAAAGAATGTGTTTTAATAAGAATATTTAGAATCATCAATTGAGGCTATCAGTACATGAGTAGCTTAATCCTTTTTTCAAAATTTTGAAAATCCATTTTGACTTTATACATTAACAGAATATACTGTATAAATAAAAAAATTCAATAATTTGTACTATTTGACTTGTGATAATCCTAAAAATGCTTAATTTAACGAATTCAAGTATTATATTTGGAGAACTAAGACTTATAGATGTTGACAATGTTTGTATAAATTTGTATTGTTTGTTTGTTGGTTTGTTAAAATCAACCTACTAATATTTAAAAAATAATAATTCTTTATAATTTTTTTTTTTTACATATTGTAATTTATTTAACATATTTTAGCTAAAAATAATAAGTTAAAGAAAAAATGAAATATATTTTGAACATGTTCTTAAACACCACTTTTTTAACAATTCTTCTTGTATTTTTGTAAAAAATATTAATATTAGTTGATACAGAATTCTTTTGTATTAGATTTTTAAAAAAAAGTTAGATAAAAAATAAACCACTTATTGTTATTCCAAGATCTTCAATTAACATTTTTAGTAAAATTTATATTTTAGTTAAAAATAAAGAAATGAGACCTTTTCAAGTAAAATTGAATTTGCTTTGAATGTTTAAAATTGGGCTTTTTCATAAAAAGAATAGTTAAGGATATTATATCAAACATTATGATATTTCAGTTGAACTTAATTTAGATATTTTATTTATCACAAAATCTACTAGTAACAACTTATTATTGTGCATAAATTGTGCATTTTAGTCAAATTTATAGTTTTGCTGTTTTAATAACACTAACGACTAAATAAGATTGTTTAAAATTGTTTATTCAGGGTACTACGATTATAAATAGGATACAATTAATAATAATAAAAATTAGTGATGGGCATTTTCAAATATTTTTAACTATCGATTAACTATTCGAATTGTGTTTATACCACCGAATATTTTATTTTATCATAAACTATCAAATATTTTAAAAACTATTCGAATAGACTATCAAATAGTTTTTAAAAATATTCGAATAAACTATCGAATATTTTTACTATTCGAATAGTTTTTGAATGACTATCGAATAGTTCGAATAGTGGACAACTATCGAATAGTTCAATAGTTACTATTCAATATTTCCTATTACTACTATTTACTGTAAAATTATCAGAAAAGCTCAATATTGTTTTTTGCATTTTTATTGTAATAGATCACTTAAATAGAAATCATAGTAATTATTTTTGATGTTTAAAAATATTCAGAACATAATTAATTTTAATGATTTAACTAAAAAAAACAATCAAAATGTTGTTAAAAAAATCTACTTAATTGAGTGTATTATAAAATTTTATTATAATTTTTTAATATTTTTGTTTAAGTCAGATGAAAATAAAAATTATTTTTTTTTAGATTTATGATTTATATAGCAACATGTTACCAAATTATTTAGAATATTATAGACTGTTAGTAACACAAAAATAATAAGTAATTTTTCATTGATATAATTTTTGAAGGTAGTCTTCGACTAGATACAATTTGTGATCTTTTGACGTATTGTTCATCAAAATCGTTCCAGTGAGAACTGAGAATAAGTTGTAACAGTGATACAAAAAAATAATAAAAATAAACAGATTTAAAATTGGCCCCTCTCATTAAAGTTGCAAGGACATTTAGTGGGTAATGTCTTCAACTAGATACAATTTGTAATCTTTTGATGTATCGTTGAGAAAAGTCGGTTCAGAGAAAGGTGAGAAAAATTAGCGTCAAACAAAAAAAAAAAAAACACATATAAAGTTAATACTTTCTCAGCTTCGCATCAAAGCTAAAAACTTTATATTAGTTGAACTTATGTGAAAAAAAAATAATCGTTAATTTTTTATTATTTAGTTTAGTTGTAAACATTTTGCTGCATGGAGCAAATGCTTCTTTTGCATTTAGATTGATAAAGCCTTACTAATATTATATTTCCATACATTTTACTTTTATATATTTTCTGGAGTTGGGTTTTAATAGGATTAATAGGAGCTATAAGAATATAAAATATTCTTTGTACTTCAAAAACTTGTATTTAAGATTTTTTTTTTCAAATAAACAACTTATTTTCCTTCAAAATTAAATAAAAAAGAATGAATTACATATTTAAAATTTTACATTTAATTAATATCATTACTTTTTGTAAATGATTACTAAGAAAAAATGTAACAAATATATAAAATTTTAAATAAGTTTATTATAACCAATACCAACACCTGTTACAAGAATTCTCGAGTTGTAACCTTGCCGTAGGTCTTCATCTTCATTGATATTATTATAAGGTTCCAACTTAAAAGTTATTCCAAAAAATATTTTTAAATGTCTTAAAAATTGTATTCTGTAAATATTAATTATAGAATTAGTTTATATTTAAATAAAATTATAATATAACTAATATAAAAACAAAGAACTTAAGATAATATTAAGACACATATTTTTTAAATATTAAAGGGTCTAATGCAAATGATTTTAATTTGGGGAAAATATTATTAAATTTTTATGAGAGGGATAAAGATTTATTTTATAATCCTTACGTGTATGGAGATAATGGTCCTAGAACAACATGAGATACATCTTTTTGTCGGAGTGCCATGTATAATAGTATCAATGATTGAAAAGATGAATCTACACAACCTCCTCGCCATATTTCTTCTAACATAGCAGACGAGACGTTTTCTGCTATTTCTTCTGCAGTTGTTCTTTTGCCACTAAATGGAAGTGAGACACTATCAGCATTTAAAACTATACCATTTGTTGTTAGAGAAACTATATTTGCACCAAAACCTGGGGAGTTTCCACAAAGTTTTCCTTTTGGATGATCAACTGTAAAATATACATCTGGTATAAATTTTAGCATATTTGCTTTGGCTTTTTCTACCATTCTATTTGCAATTGTTGGTGACACTCTTAATGAAAAAAATGTTCCACGTATTTTTTTTATTTTTCCAAATTCTGTTAACTATAAATAAAGTAATTTTCATCAATTATAATAATTTTATTTATACATAAATACATATTAAATATTTAATTATGAAATTTATTATTGTATATTAATTATTCAGTATTTATAGGTACATTTCCTACATCATAGCCTCAATTACTATTTGTATACATTTTTAGTTATATTCCTTACTTTTAAGTTGAAGTAATGAGTTAATTTAGTACACCCTTATTAAGTTAATAGATTAACTTAATATAACTAAGTTAATAGATTTTAAAAATGAATATTATTTTATTTACTTGAATTGGTTTTGTGTATTTAACGGGTTCACATGAAAAGTATATTTCTCCTCCACCATCAGGCTCCATTCCTCGCTTTTTAATATCCATTGTTACATCAGTTGCTAGAAGTAATATTCTTTGTAAAATTGGTAAAGCACACGTTTTAAATGCATCTACTGATGGATCTTTCTAAAAAATTATAAAGTTTAAATATTTTTAAAAAACCAATAGTAATTCTAAATTATATCAAATATTTTATAACAATATGGTTGATGACTACTCAAAATAAGCCTTTTAATTTTAATGAACTAGTTCTAATTTATAATGAACAACTAAATTGGGTAGGTTAAAAAAAGGATTTATTTTTTAAATTAAAAAAATTATATTAAAAATAATGATGTAGACATTTTTGTACACCCCTTAATGTAGTAAACTACATTAAAAATTTAGATATATATTTTATAAAATCTAAATTTACTATTTAGGTTAGATGAATCTTAATCATATAAATATTTTTATTGATTATTTTGATTGTTTATCAAAAATAAATTTTTTTTTTTTAACCAAAAAATGTTAAAGTTCTATAGAGAGGTCACTAATAGGTAATTTAAAAATTAAAAATGTACAATTGACTTGTGCAGTTTTAAAAATGATTCCAACTTGTTGTAGCTGGTATTTACGAGGTGTGATCAAAAAATACCCGGACTGTGTTAATAATATTTATATCAATTAAGATAACGAAATCCCGATAATTTAATTCGATAAAGTAACTTCTAACGAGAATTTGAGCATTGGTTTGAAATTGATAACAATATTTATTTTTATTTTATGGCATTTTTACAAAAACATGTTTCAGTCATGCGTCGATTTTTGAAATGGAAACAATAGAAGAACAACGTGTGTGTGTAAAATTTTGTTTTAAATTAGGGAAAAGTTTTAGTGAAACTTTCAAACTTTTGAATCAAGCTTTTGAAAATGATGATCTGTCTCGGACAGCATGTTTTGAGTGGTTTACACGGTTTAAGGAAGGTAGGTCATCCACTAAGGATAATGAACGATCTGGTAGACCATTGACCAGTAAAACAAATGAAATTGTTACTCGTGTTCATGAAATTATTAGAAATAATCGTCAATTAACTATCAGAGAAGTTGCAGAAGATGTCGGAATATCTTATGGTTCTTGCCAATATTTACCAAGAATTAGGCATGAGCCGAATCGCAGCCAAATTTGTTCCTCGTCTCTTAACAAATGAACATAAACAAAACCGAAAGACCATCTCTCAAGAACTTCTTGAAAGAGCAGAAACTGATATAGACTTTTTAAAAAATATTGTAACTGGTGATGAAACTTGGATTTACGGGTATGATGTTGAAACCAAGTGTCAATCGTCACAGTGGAAGTCAGCAAATTCTCCTAGACCAAAAAAAGCAAAGCAGGTGAAATCAAATGTGAAAGCCATGTTAATCACTTTTTTTGATTTTCGTGGTATAGTTCATCGTAAATGGGTGCCTCAAGGACAAACAGTAAATCAGTTTTTTTATTTAGAAGTCATGAAAAGATTACGAGAAAATGTTAGAAAAAAAAGGCCAGAAAATTGAAAAAAAGGTCCTTGGATGTTGCATCACGATAACGACCCGGCTCACAGCTCATTGGTCAGTTCTTAGCGAAAAATCAGACTACAGTAATTCTACAACCACCATACTCACCCGACCTGGCACCATGTGACTTTTTTTTGTTTCCGAAGTTAAAATCTACGCTCAAAGAACGTCGTTTTCAAACAATTGATGACATAAAACAAAATACGGAAATCGATCTAAAGGACATTCCAATTAGTGCCTACCAGGAATGTTTTCAAAAGTGGAAAAGAAGATGGAAGCGGTGCATTGCTTCCCAGGGAGATTATTTTGCAGGTGATAATGTTTATATAGAATAATATTGAGTTAATAAAGTTTTATTTAAAAAATCCGAGTATTTTTTGATCACACCTCGTATATTATATGTCTGTACATTTTAATTTTACAGTAGCATAAATACATACATAATCATAATATTAAAAAAAATTCAATTTTGAAAAGTTAGTGACTTGTATCATTTTAACTAAAATAATACTTACTTCATTATTAGTGACTCCTTTAAGTGTTATGTGTATTCCTTTTTTACAATAGGGAGTAACCATAAAAATTAATTCTAAATAATATCCAATCCCGCGTAATTTGCAACATTCATGACTGATGGAACCGCCTATTAATAGTCCAGGCTGAAAATATAAATCAGTCCCAGTTTCATTGACTTCTAATGAGGTACCATTGGTAATTTTATCAACCAAACGTAAAAAATTAACTTCAAATTCTAAAAAAAAGATTTTAAACATTTTTAACGAGAAATTTACTCTTATCTTAAGTTTATAATTCTAAAAATAAAAAAAATTTGAAAGTACATAAAATTTAAAAATGATGATAAACTTGTTAATCCACTTAGGGTATGTTTAATAGTATAATGTGCACCTTAGGAAAATGCAGTACTCCATTTATGACGAATTATGGGCATAAATGTGTATGTTACCATTCTATCTAGTTATTACAGAAAATTTATTTGAATTGATTTAGTTTTATTTTAGTTAAAAAAATTTCATTACAAATTATTTATCATAATAATTATTACAGAGTGGATTTTGAGGTTTTTACATAATTTTATTAATTACACAGCTTAACAGGAATAAAAATATCAATATTTTTTTATTCAACAAGTTTAATTTAGAAAATTTGATTTTCATATTTCAAAATATATTTGATTATTTGGAAAAAATATTTCAATTAATAAAATATATAATTTTCTCTAACTTGAAGTATTCAATTAAAAAAAAATCATGATAATATTCAATGTTAAAGGATTTTTTTCATATATTTTATCTATTCATTCTTTTAATTAAAAATTAATAGCATTTAAAGTGTTTTCTAAAAATAATTACTTAAGTAGAAAATTTGTATAAAATTAATTTTATTAGATTATACTAATAAAATTTAGTTCCTTAAAATATCAAAGCAATTGATTATTTTTAATATATTAATAACCTTTAAAAAAAAAGTGTCACCAATTTAACAACTCTAGAATTAAATTAATTAAATTTAAGAATATTTATAATTTGACTAACCTTTAAGACCAGGTTCATTGTCTTGTGAACGAATGTTTCGTATTTTTACTGGTTTACCACTTAATAAAGACAATATTATTCTAGTTCGAAAATTACTACAACCTTCAAAAATCATACTTTATAGTAATTATAATCCTAATTTATTCCTAAGGTAATTATCATATAAGTGTAAATATGAAATATAGATTAATATTAAATATTTAAATTCAAAGAGAAAATAGAACGACTTATTTTTAATAAAATTCAGACATGCTTTATTCTATTTTTTTAATACTGATAGTGTTATCAACGCAGTGTAATACAAAATAATCAGTGCATGTAGTGTAGATTATGAAGACCGAACTCGTAATGGAAAATCATTTTGTAAAACATCGCACACTAATTCACCACCATTAGCGCATCGGGCGTATGTAAGACTACTATTTGATTATTTTAAACGTAAGTAATACTCTTACGATTGTTTTTTTTTATTTACTCTTTCTTTGCGAATTTCACATCCAACTATTAATTACTATGGTTGGGATTTTGACCAGTTAAAATCTTTCATGAACAATTAAATAGATTTCGATGTATCAAATGATCAAAATTAATTTTTTTTTATTTTACTCCACAATCAATATAAATATCAATCTTCTTTTATTTAAAATTTAGGGTAGACATCTGGTCATTTTTTTCAATTTATAATTTTAATTTTAAAAAATAAAGCTGTGTTATAATTTATAAGTTTTAATAGTAATCCCAGTTATTAGTTAATTCAAATAGCAATAATAACTTTTATTTTTTTTTTTTATTAACTAATATACATTAGTTAATAAAAAAATTTTCTGTTCAAAGAAAAAATCAATTTAAATAGCATAAAAATTATAAATAAATCAATTTTTATAATATTATTAAAATACTTAAATACTACGAAAATTCTATTATTGCTGTTCAATACATAGACAGTCCAATATCTTCACGCGGAGTGTAATTTATATATTTTAGCTTCGATGCGAAGCTGAGAAGGTATTAATTTTACAATGATGTGTTTATTATTATTTTTTTTTTTGTGTCTGTCAGTACTTTTTCTCAATTCTCACTGGACCAATTTCTTTCAACAATACGTCAAAAGATCACAAATCGTATCTAGTTGAAGACATTACTCTTTAAAATTGAAAAATTTTCCCTCGTTCCCCGCAAATGGGAGAAATCTCCAAAAAAATTACAATTTTTTATAACTTTTTTAAAAATTAACAAAACAACTTTTTTTTTTTTTTATTGAAACCTTTATTTTTCTTTCATTTCATATCAGTTTTTTGAAAATCTAACACTTAACTTGCTCACAGGGGGGATTTAAAATAGCAACTTTTTTACAAAAAGTAGCCTTTTCAACTTAACTTTTGAAAATGTTCCGGAAATACTGCGTCCTTTAAACATATACCAAATGAAAGCTTATGTCATGTACTATAAAATGAAAAAAAAAAAAGTTGTCCCGACACTTTATTTTCTGTATGCAAACGACTGCCTTAGTTAAAAAATGGTATTTTTTTCTTAAAATTTTCGATTTAAAATGTTTAACTTTAACATGCCATAACTTTTTGAATAATGTATGTATCAACACAATTTTTTTTTCTAAATACATTATATATACCTCTTTCATTTAACATACTTTTTATTTAAATTGGAAAATTTTCTTTTATACAGGTGACATTCAAAATTGAAAAATACGTATAAAAAGTAGAACTTTTTCAACTTAACTTTTGAAAATGTTCCGGAAATACTGCGTCTTGTGATCATATGTCAAATGAAAGCTTATAATAAATACTATAAGTTCAAAAAAAAATTTGTCCCGATCTTCTGCTTGCAAACGGCTGCCAAAGTTAAAAAAATGATATTTTTATGTTAAAATTTTCAACTTTAAAATGCTATAACTTTTCGAAAAATGTATGTATCAGCACAAATTTTTTGTTCTAATTACATTATAAGAACATCTTTCATTTGACATACTTTTTATTAAAATTGGACAATTTCCCCTTATATAGGGGACATTCAAAACTTGAAACATTGTATAAAAAAATAGAACTTTTGAAAATGTTCCAGAAATACCTCATCCTTTAAATATATATCAAATCAAATGTCATGTACTATAAAATTAAAAAAAAAGTTTCTCCTGACACCTTATTGTCTATGAGTAAATTGCCACCGAAATTAAATAAAAAATGTAATATTGTAAAAAAAATAAGCTCCTATTGTGATGTTTTTTGTATTTAAAACTACCATAACTTATTGAAATTGCTATTTAATTTCTGTACTATATTAGTCGTCTATTAACCACAGTTAGTGAAAACTTACCTAACTCATTAAAAAATAAAACCAAAGTTACTTATTAAGTTATCTAGTTAAGTTAAAAAGTAAAACTACCATACCTTCCAACTATTTAACTCGGTTTGATTCTAACTCGTTAGTGTCCAGCATTAAAAATAATTAAAACAAACATTCTATAAGATAACAACTAAATTTACAAAAAAATCATATTGTACAATAAAATTTAAATACAGATATTTAATTTGTTTATTTTGACCAGATTACAGACCGGTCAAAATTTCTTAGGTCAATTAATATCGTGCCAACTCTAAATAAAGCTGATCATCTTTATTATGATGTTGTTGTGATAAGTGTCACATCAAGGAGTGTACAAGTGTACTTGCTCCGGATGGCATTGAAATATGAAACTATATAAATGATAAACATTTAACAGATTCACATTGAAGAATTTTATGATAGTGATGAAAATCATTGTCAGGTATCATCTGTAGTATACGTGATTTTATAAATTATAAGAGACAAGTATAGATTCTATACTTACCCCAACTATGCTATGTTCCAGTCATGCAGAGTTTTTTTGTTTTATTTTTCCTACGTTCTACTAAAAACAATATTGCATTTGAAAAACATTTTATCATCACTACTATTCCCGTTATTTTAGCTTCGATGCGAAGCTGAGAAGGTATTAATTTTACTATGATGTGTTTTTTTTTTTT